AAATTATAATTTTTTTTTTTTTTTTTTTTTTAGTTAATGTCCTGGGGCTTTCATATAAAGTAGAGCACCATAGTCCAACAGGTTGCAGATACTAAATATTTTCTTGCACTAAAGGAAAATAAAGATCTGTTTCTATAGTAAAAACCCAATTTAAGCTTAAGTTTAGAAATGAATTTGTCAATATGTAGCTTAAAAGTTAATTGACCATCAAATAGAATGCCCAGGTACTTATAACTCACAACACATTCTATTTTTGTTCCCTGGAAGGATATAATATCAGGAAGATTACTTGGTAAAACTTTGGAATTTGCAAAAATCATTAAACTAATTTTATCTGTATTTAAAACCAGCTTAAGTTGACATAAACGGAACTGGTCAATATCAAACGCTGACTGTAAATAATGAAGAGCTTGTGAGGCTGATGAAGCGTAGCATTAAAAAACAGTATCGTCTGCATAAAGATGGTACCTAGGATTGGGAATGTTATCACAAATATATTTATATACAAGGAAAATAAAATGGGTCCCAGGACAGACACCTGAGGGACACCTTTGGAAACTGACAAAACAGATGAAGTACAATCTTTTAAAAGCACACACTGTGTTCTCCCTGAAAGATAGTTGGCAAACCATTTAATAGCATTTTCTGAGAGACCAACAATGGAAAGTCATTTTAAAAGTATGCCATGATCAACTGTGTCAAAAGCCTTCGATAAATCAAGAAAAAGAGCTGAACAAATTTGTTTAAAGTCTAAGGCATTAATAATGTCACTAAACACTTTCATAGCCGCAGTTAACTGTACTATGCTACTTTCTAAATCCAGATTGGAAAGGAGAAAGAATATTCTTTATTTCCAGAAAGGTTTTTAATTGTTCATTCAATAATTTCTCCAAGAGCTTAGATAAAGCACACAGTTTAGATATTGGCCTATAATTGTTCAACTGCTATGAGTCCCCCCTTTGAAAAGAGGAGAAACAAAAGCAGACTTCCAAATCTTTGGGATTTCACATTGGGAAATAGAAAGATTAAATAAATAAGTCCAACAGTTCAGCAGTAAAATCAGCTGCTAGCTTTAGATAAAATGGTTCCAACTTATCAGGCCCAGCAGACTTATTTGGGTCCAGAAAACTCAGAAACAGAGAACTGGGTAAAATCTAATTTTTGTGTAATTAATTTACATGGAACTTCATTTAATTTAATCATTCATAGAACTTGTTTAAATTGAGACATTTCAGATAAATAGAAATCTGATTTGGCATTTTTTATCTGTGAGGTACAGAGATTTCTCAGCTTCCTAAAATGAAGCCAGTCCGATTCAGCCTTAGTGCTTCTGGCTTTGGCCCAAGCTACATTCCTATCATGCAGCAGCCTAGCCAACTCCGGTGTAAACCAAGGATTAGTTTGGGCCGTCACTCTTATTTTATGCATGCTTATTTACCAGGTGCACAAAACTACTATAAAAAAAGTTGCATGCTAACTCAACATAATTTATTAAAGATCGCCTGAACGAGGTGGTCTCGGCTCGATTGAAAATGAACTCTGGAGCGGTTCGGTTGTAGTGAGAAAGCAATCCGATCTAATGGACCAACGAACCAGGCTATATCACAATGTATAATGAGTAATTACATAAGTTCTGTGAAAAGCATTAGCTTTGTTGTTTTGCTAATACTTCAAAATGAACCATGTGAATGTCTGTGGGTGAGCACGTCTTCGCCATTCAAAATCAAAGCGCACTTTTTCATTTTATAATGCCGTCTTATTGCTCTTCTTCCTAGTATGTGCATTTTAAAAATGTTTTCCCAGTGAATCCTGGACTCCTGCTCAAATTGATAAATTAATATAATGACATCTACAAAAAAACAACAACAATAAGCCCGCGAAGCTGTTGTCGTTCCATCCTGACGGATGACATGCGTGACAGCTCAGTGGAATCCTGGAAAATAAACCGTGGAACTTTGACCAATGAGAGAACAGTTTACTCGCGCGTGACTTGTATTAACAAATTTGGTCCATATAGAAACATTGCCGTGTGAAAGCGAACCGCACCAAGAATAAAAAGCAACATTGTAATCATTTTAATCCCTGTTTCGGAACAAAGCAATCGATCTACAGGTGTGAAAACACCCTAAGACAATGCACGGATCCAGTACACTGATACTGTATGTTCAACCGACTTGTCTGCTAGGAAACTCACCAAGACAGGCGTTTTGTAAGTTCTCATTCGCGTCTTCTGGCTCTTTAATATTTAAACTGGCAAGGCTTAAATGAGTTTAGTTTAAACCGTGGGTGGAGAACCGTACGGTTAAATTTTTTACCGAGAACCGTTCCACCCCTATTGTATGTGTATATATATATATATATATATAATTTAGATTTACATATTTTATATTGTAATGAATAAAATAACTATTAATAAAATAAATAAATACAATATTTATAATAATATAAAATAATAAATAATAGTTTTATAATATTTATAATATATGTTTTTTCAGGTAATTACACATTTTCATAATGTTTTTTTTATTATTATTATGAAATTTAAATACTGTAGCAACATTCAGATATTGTTTTCTGTTACAGGCTGTAAAGTCGACATATTTGACCTGAAAGTAGAAGCTGTAAACACACACCGGGACAGACCACTCGTAAGGAGATGTATAACCTTTACCAGACTAACAGTTTTTGTTGTGTTTGCTAAAACTTCACTGTTATTACAAGCGACCATTTAGTAACATGTTTCTTTTCTTCAGGGAAATGTATTTTTGTGCAGAATGATTCTGAATGTTTATTCTTTTATGATATTTTTGGAATCATGTGCGTCCTATGATCGCATGGTCAGTCCAACTCAAACAGCTTGAGTAAATCAGCAGTAGAGGAGCCTCAAAGCATGAATAACCTCTCGAACTCTTTTAAGAGAAAGCTAAAGGCTGACAGAGTTTGTTCATAGTTTGGTGGTCTGTTTTTGCAGTGTAAGTCTGTAGGTGTGAGTTTGCTTGGAAAATACAAACCCGTCTCAGAATAGTTCTGGCTTATGGCTTGATATTGTTTTGGATGAGTAGTTTTAGGATGAGATCAGCATGTTGTTTCTTCTGTTGGGCGGCAGTCGGGGGAGTTTCCCTGCCAGCCTGAGCTTTAATTTAATGTGCATCAACATGTTTAGTTTCCGCTCAGATTTTTAAAGAGCTTATGTAACATGGAAAACAGAAGGTTTTTGCACTTTAGAACAACAACAACAAAAAAAAAGAGTTTGATGATGTAATAAGTTGACTTTAATAACTCCAATCCATCCAACAGATTTATGGGTGAATCTCATGAAGAAAATGTTTTTGTTTTTCTCCCTTCATTAAAATGTAGCATAATTACGTTGTACAAATGTACTTAAATCGCACTAAAAATAAGCTTCATCGTCTTTATGCAAAATATAATTGGGTAACACTTTACTTAAAGCCTTTATGTATAATGCATTATAAAAGTAGTTTTAATGCATGAATTAAGCCTTGTAATACAGATAATAATGCATTGTATAATCTCATGAATAATTATAACCACAGTTATAATACATTATAATAATTATCTATTCATTGTTACACGTTTAGAAAGTATAATGCATTAAAACACATGACAAACAAACTTTCAAATATTATAATGCATTTCAACTTTGGTTACAATTATACGTTAAGATATAATGCATTTCAACCTACATTATGAATACCTATAATCCATAAAAGCTTTAAGTAAAGTGTTACTTATAATTTCTTATTCTTCTTTTAAAGGGATAGTTCTCCCAAAAATGAAAATTACCCCATGATTTACATCCTAGACGTATCTGACATTCTTCTTTCAGATGAATCCAGTCAGAGTTATATTAAAAATTGTCCTGGCTCTTCCAAGCTGTATAATTGCAGTGAATGGTGCCCCTGTTTTTGAAGCCCAAAAAAGTGCATCCATCCATCATCAAACTACTCCACACGGCTCCGGGGTGTTAATAAAGGCCTTCTGAAGCGAAACGATGCGTTAGAGTAAAAAACAAATATTAATTTTATAAAAATGTATAAACTGTAATCTCCAGCTTCCGGTCACTCAAGCAGGCGTGTTCTCGACAAGGTGTTCGAGCGCATGACGTAGGCGTAGCGGAAGACACATCATAAGCTCCGGGGAGAGAGTGACGAACACGGAAGAACAGAGGAGAAAGCAAAACAAAACACCTGTCACGAACTAGTAGTAGTACTAGCGGCGGCGGCACAAACTACAGATGTAGTTCACGTGGTTTCCCTGTGCAGTAAACAAAACTTGGTTCTCGCGAGACTACACTCTTCTCCCCGAAGCTTACGATGTGTCTTCCGCTACGCCTACGTCATGCGCTCAAACGTCTTGTCGTGAACGCGCCTGCTTGAGCGACCGGAAGCTGGAGGTTACAGTTTATACATTTTTAAAAATCAAATTTTTTTTTTTACACTAACACATCGTTTCACTTCAGAAGGCCTTTATTAACAACCCGGAGCCGTGTGGAGTAGTTTTATGATGGATGGATGCAGTTTTTTCGGCTTCAAAAACAGGGGCACCATTCACTGCCATTATACAGCTTGGAAGAGCCAGGACAATTTTAAAATATACCTGTGATTGTGTTCGTCTGAAAGAGGAATGTCAGATACGCCTAGGATGCCCTGAGGGTGAGTAAATCATGGGCTAATTTTCATTTTTGGGTGAACTATCCCTTTAATTTTCAGGTGAAAAATGTCCTGGAATTTTTGTTGCTATGTTTTTTATATTTTTTATTGAGACTCTTAAAGAAACCAAGCTCAGAAATTGTCACCGTTATGATATCAAAACACATTAAGGCAAAGCAAGTTTATTTATAAACATTATTTTATATGCATTGGTGCTTTACATAATAATAATATTTTTTATTTATAATACATTTTTATAATAATCATACAAGTAATCAACATATGCATAAAAATAAAAATACAAATAAATGTAAAAATCTTTATAAGAAGATAGAAGAAAAGAGAAGTGTACATACAATGATAATCAGTAGGATGCAGTGTTCAAGTAATTGCACAGAAACATATTAACATATGACTGCTTAATTTAACACCTTAATTTCACATGCAAAGCCATTAGCCAATCACAACAGATGTCATTTACATATAGAAGGCTAAGAGGCATGATAGGCAGAGAGAAGGTGGAAAATAGTCATAAAGAACTACATTATGATGCAAGAAACCCTGACTTATAAGAAACATGGCCCTATATAAACATGGCTTTTGTCCCAATCTTCACCCATTTGCTGTACTTAATGCTTACGTTGTGTGTTCAGGGAAGTTCCAGACAGGCAGTGCCGCCCACTCTGCTGAGAAGGAACAGCTTTACGCCACTATCTAGTCAGGATCAAGTCAAGCGGCCCCGCCTCTTCAGCGTTGGCAACCCGCCCCGGCTAGCAAGCGTTCCTGCCTTATCAACCACGCGATTCCCTGAGGCGGAGGAGAGCGAGGAGCTGAGCGAGAGCCAGGTTAGTTTTGACCTTCTGCATCTCTGTGTGTCTGAGCTCTTAATACTTCCCTTCAATGTGATTTACAGCACGCAGAATAAAGGTTCCCAAACTCACACTGAGAATATAAATACTCTGAGAGATCAAAAAGCAGGCACAATTATGACCCAAATCAGGGATGCAAATTTGTCACCTTTCAGCGAAATTTGCCAATTTGAATTCTAAATGGGTCATTTGTGTGATTCGTGTAGATCCAGTGAGTTTCTAAAAAGTTTATTTAATTAAATTTTTTACATTTTTACAGTACCATTAGTACCAACTCAATTCTGTATCTGCTTGAAGTCACCCATGTTTGTGTGCGCCAATCACAGGCATCTCTGTTGAAAGCAATTCAATTAAATTCAAGTTTATTTGTATAGCCCTTTTCACAATACAAATCGGTGCAAAGCAGCTTTACAGAAAATGAAGTTTCTACAATATATTTAGAAAGCAATGGCCAATCAGAGGCGTTTACTGTAGTATCCGCTCTGAACTCATTTTTGTTTTCGCAAGTTTGCGTAGTTCTACCAAGCGGCAACCTTCCGGTCTCTGAACAAATATGTTTACAGCCTGGTACAAAATGTGGTTTTGGTCTATATAGCTAATTTTGCCCTTCATGACAACTGTGAGGGGGGGAATTTTTTTTATAACTCATCCGTTTAAATTATATTAAGCCTTAAAGTTCTGCATAATTAAGGGCGTGGCCACTTGAGTGAAAGGTGGATTGCCGCTGCTGTCACCACCGTCGACCACCTCCACCCACGTCCCACCTCTTTGCCCATTTTCGATTATCTAGGAGTGACGCGCTGCCAAGATGGTGACGGCCGGCTCCACCCACTTTAGGCTTCAAAAATGCTCTTCAGAAACCTACGGGTGACGTCATGGACACTACGTCCATGTTTTTTTTACAGTCTATGAGATCTACACACTCGCAGATCTTCCCATTATAACAAAAGAAAAAGGTAACATGCATGATGTAAATAAGAGATTGATTGTGTAGTTAGTTATTGATTATATCAGGAGTTTTTGCGTGAGTAAGCTGTAAGGGAAGCGCTCGGTTTCTCTAATCCAGTGTAGACAGACTTTAGCTGATGCGGCGTGGCGCGACACGACAACTGTGGCTTCTGGTGTAGACACGGTTTAATGGTTGCCTGTTACATTACAGTACATAAACTTTCACTTATCACGTAAACAGTGTAAGGAGAGATGACTGAGGACGATGGCGAATGATTTGCAGATCCTCAGTACCACTGACAAACATATAATCTTGTCGAAAGAATTGCAGTTCCATTGCCAATTGCCAATTGATCATATGCACGGTTACTTCCTGGTTTTAGATAAGCCAGCTCAGTCATTTCCGGTCAACTCTTTCTCTATACATAATCCATTCACAATTTGAATAATTGTTTTGTTTGTGTACTGTTTAAGGAATGACAAACGCGAGTGTAAAAGACTACACGAGTGAATCCGCTAAATTGTTCTGCGATTGATGGCGATAACTGTCGCAATGGACGGATGTGACAAGAGAAAATTCAGAGTAACAAAACTACAGCAGCAAGTCTGTGTTGGCTGAATGTATTTAGCAGCTTCTACAGTTAAAGACTTAAAGCACTCTTTTTGATTAGTCCTTTTTAAAGCAATGTTTTAAAAAAATTGAGTTTTTAAATTTAATCTAAAAAATGTCTAAATATTTATTATATTATTAAATTATACCATTAAAAATGAACTTAATTTGTAGTTAACTTAAGTATTTAAATAATTAACCCTTCTAGGCTGTTGGTATCTGGGCTTATTTATTTATTAAATGACATGAGACTTTGGACTTTGTGACTTCCTGCACTTGCTATACTTCATAGTAATTTTGTAATAAATCCAAAAGCAAGACTTGGGAGTGGAAATGGCAACTGAGCTAATGAGTGATCCTCTGCTGCCATCTACTGGATATAATGGTAATTTAATGTCATTTTAATTTTACAAGTATTTGTTTTCCACCAGGAGACAATGTTTTTCTCGTCATCTTCATGAATGAAATGTGAATATTTAAAGTGAATTTTACAGCACAGCTGTAGAGTTAAAAAATAATAAAGGGTTTAAAATATTATAAGTGTTTAAAAAATATGTTTAAGTGTGTGTGTTGGGTGAGGGCGGGCGCGCATTTTTGTCACCATTCCTGCAAATACTGAAAGATATTTGATTTTATATTTTAAAAAGAAATGTATTTTTAACATTCTTCATAACATTCAAAAAGTTTTTGAAAGAAGTCCCTTTTGCCCACCATTTATTTGCATTTATTTGATAAAAAATACCATAAAAACAGTAATATTGCAAAATATTTTTACAATTTAAAATAACTATGTGAATATTTTGTGAATAACATATTTCTATGTGAATATATTGTAAAATATAATTTATTCCTGTGATCAAGGTTGAATTTTCAGCATCATTACGCCAGTCTTCAGTGTCACATGATCCTTTAGAAATCATTCTAATATGCTGATTTATTATCAGAGCTGGAAACTGTTGTGCTGCTTAATATTTTTTTGGAACCTGTGATACCTTTTTTCAGGATTCTTTGATGAATAAAAAGTTAAAGAGGAGCATTTATTTAAAATAGAAATCTTTTCTAACAATATACACTACAGTTCAAACGTTTGGGGTCAGTAAATTTTTATTCTTTCTTTTTTTGAAAGAAATTAAAACTTTTATTCAGAAATTCAGTGTTAAATTGTTAAGAAGTGATAGCAAAGATTTATATTGTTAGAAAATATTTCTATTTTGAATAAATGCTGTTCTTTTTAACGTTTTATTCATCAAAGAATCCTGAAAAAGTATCGCAGTTTTCAAAAAAATATTTGGCAGCACAACTGTTGCCAACATTGATAATTCTAATAATAAAGCAGCATATTAGAATGATTTCTGAAGATCATGTGACACTTTATACTGGAGTAATGATGATGGAAATTCAGCTTTGCATCACAGAAATAAATTATATTTGAAAGGATATTAAAATAGAAACCATTATTTTATATTGTAATAACATTTTGCAAGATTACTGTTTTTTTCTGTATTTTTGATCAAATAAATGCAGCCTTGATGAGCATAAGAGACTTCTTTAAAAAAACATTACAAGTCTTACTGATCCCAAACTTTTGAACGGCAGTGTATATATACATGTGTATATATAGTATTTTTCTACCTGGAGTATTGACTAGTTAGTCAAGAGTCTCTCAAGGATTATTTATGTGGTAATCTCAACAGAGTAACCTTTGTGCTCTGTCTTATAGGAAATGCTGAACTGCTTCGGTCCGTCAGACTTGAAAGACACCATCCAAGAGTGACGACACAAATAAAGCAGTGTGACGCCCGTCACAAATTAAATGTGTTCTCCAGACATGATTCAACTGTAGATGCCCGCTCAGAATCGGCACGTGAACACTGCTTTGTGTAACGTTAATAGCGCTGGCGACGCCTCCATCCGCTCTTCTCAACCCTCATCCATCCACAAGCGTTCGGTAGTACGGTAAAATCAAAACAGCATGCGAGTCATTGATTCAAATACTCCATAATTAATGCAAGGGAGATTTTGAACAGATTGAGAGCATGTGGGACCACAGCTGAACTGATTGAGTGGGCGTGGCTTGTGCCAATTAAGCTGATTGGCTCTCCTGAATCAGAATATTTAAAGACACAGCGCACTAAAATAAGAACGAAGGGAACATTCAAGCACTCATTTTGATTGTCATAACATCTGTTTTGCGCTCTTTTCTTAATACTATCTTAGTACTGATTGATTGACCCAGGCCAAATTTGATTGGATATTGTGTAAATGTTTTATAGAGTTATGATTTTAGCTGTTAATTGTCTGTGATGTTCTTGGTGTTGTTATTTTCTCGTTTATATACATTCTGGTTTTGATTGTTGTGCAGAATGTCTTATTGAATTTAATGAATGTCTTGTGGTTTTATGTTGTCATAGGTCATGTGACAGAGCAAAATGTTTGTGAAATGTATGTTCTGCTGGTTTTTCTCCCTTCAAACTTGCTGTAATTTTGGAAAGGAACATCAGGGTAGTTCTTATAAATAACGGTTTTACTGAAACTCAAGGAAACTTGATTCAGACTTTAAGGAATGTGTCCTTTCATTGTTTCATGAATCATTAATTACAGAGTTAGGCCTATCTTGTAAGTGATTTTTCAATGGATCTTTTAGAATGTTTAATATTACTGAGGATATTGAAACTCATACGGTTATATTACGTTTTCATGTTTATTATCATTTAGATTATCTTTCATTATAAAATGTTATTTATACATGCTTTTATCTTGCCTCAGATCTAGAAGGATATTCTTAAAGGGTATATTAAACCGTTTTATAATTATAATTTGAGTTCAGGTTGTCAGATTTTTATGTTTCTGATTTTAGGACGCACAAAGTATGTTCTTAATGTGTGTTGAATGTTATGATGGCCTGTTAAGGATGTGTTCCTCTCAATCGAAGGCTGCATTGTCGTTGCTTCGTGCCGCTTGTTATTCTTTTTTAATCCAAATATGAGTGTGATTGCTTGATTTGATATGATCAGATCTGTAAGTGCCTTTGCTTCACTAGTTCGCAACCAAAGTGTAACCAAGTCCTTTTTTTAATGTAAGGTGTTACAGAAAATACATTTTGTGTTCTGGTTTCATTGCATCACAATATCTATATCACTATTATAGTTATAACTAAATATATATGTCATGCTAATCTATTGATAAACATTTTGTGATCTAATAAATCAGTCGGTGATGGAAGTACAATTTTTTTCTGTCATTTAAATAGCAATTAAACTTATTTTACTATAATTTATATACTATTATAGTTTTGAATTAGATTTTATTTTTATATTTTCTGTTTTCACTTTATTTTTTAAAGTTTTAGTAATTTTATGTTTCTGTTTTTTGTTATTTTTTTAAATATCGATATAGTTTTAGTTATTTTAGTACTTCAAATTCAACTAAAATGTTGCTGAAATATATATATATATATATATTATTTTTTTTTGTACTTTATTTATAATTTATTTTATTTCAAGTAACAAACTTTTTTTTTTTTTTACTGTTTTAGTTTTAGTTACCTATAATTACCCTGCAATTAAAGGGGTCATATGATGCGATTTCAGTTTTTCCTTTCTCTTTGGAGTGTTACAAGCGCTTGGCATTATTGACGTAATAATATATGCATTTAGTTGATATGCTTTGCATTAGTTTCTTTTTTTATTTATTTATTTCTTTTTTATTATTATTTAAATTTTAATTAGCCAAGCATTTTTGGTGAAAATTAACCAAAAGACATTGACATGAAAGTAAAAAAAAAAAAAATTGTTCTGTGGTTAATGGCTGATTGAAGTTGTGGAGTAAGTTATGTTTTAATTTCTTTCGTAGTGGCCAGAGTCACACAAACAGCTCTGGTCCAGACTGGCCTGCCATGTGGAAAGGGTGGGTTGTTTGAGCTTCACAGACACAACATCGGACAGTTTTGCTCCCACAGCTCTGGAAAACAAGTAATGCTTTCCTTTTTTTAGAACATTTGTAGCTTGTCCTGAAACAACATCAAGCGAGTCATCCATATTGTCAATGGCTGTTAAAAGTATGTTTAAGAAGTGATAAACGGGTGAGTCATTTAGTTTTGGGCAGTACAGTGATTAGAGGATGTTGAATTCTTGAGAAAATCATTCCAGTTTGTTATTTCCTGAAATTTTGATCCAATCGTGTTCTCTTCAAATCAAGGTTGCGTTTGCCAAACACATCAAAGTTGTGGCACATTTTGTCTCCACAGTAAGTTCATCACAACCTGAAGGTGGAAAAGATCCTTCAGGGATGAACGACAGAAACTGTGGCATCATGTATTAAAATGGTGCTCCACCCGAAGCGGATGAAGTAACGACTATGTCTTTCTTAAGATGGGGTGTGAGTGTTTTGACCCGTTTTACCGGCCTGACCTCAAACCGCCTGCTTGCCTTACTGGATCTCTATCGCAGAGGATGTTGTTATAATAATACAGTCAGAAGTTATGTGTAGACTGAGAATGTTAGGTTAGGTCTACTGTTAGGATTACTCGATCAAGGATGATGCTGAGAATAATCTTCTGTATTCCCAAGATAACATTTGTGTATGCAAAATGTCTCAAGGATGACAAAAGATAACTGTGAATGTTGAGGCTGCTGCAAGTCAAATAAAACTTCGCTTTATCGTTTTAAAACCATATACTGACATTCTTGATTGAGTTGCTCTTATTTTGTCAAAATATTATTTTAACATCTTGTCCATAAACAATGTATGCAATGCAATACAACATACATACAATGTATGACTTATGAAGGAGCGATAATACTCTAGTCATAGACATTAAACATGGATGAGCTTTTTTTAATGATATGTTGCAAAACCTTTACCAGTTGCTTAAACATAGCCACTCGTTAAGACTAGTGTAATTCAATGAATAAGTCATTCAATGTATATTGTTAGGCATATACAGTGGGTACGGAAAGTATTCAGACCCCCTTCAATTTTTCACTCTTAGTCAAAAGTTTGTGAACAGTACGATTTAAATTTTTTTGTTTTTTTTGGCGTATTGATTACCAGTTGTATAACCAAAGTTTTACTACAAACACAATGGTTAAACTATGGTTAGTGTAGCAAAACCATTGTTCATAAAACAAAAACAGTTTTGTGAATTTAGTATTTTGTCATGTCACTACATTGTTTAGAGCATAAGCAACATTTTGAAAAATTATATTTTATTCATATGTTATGCCATGTCCTCTGTAGAGGACATCGGGACTTTATAAAGTCCTG